TTCCCGTTCCCGTTCCCGTTCCGTACCCACGTGCACCGCCCCTCCACGAAGTACTTGCAGATGACCTTCCCCTTCTTGTCCTGGGGCAGGTGGGACTTGTCGTGGTCGTTCCGTCGGTAATTCCCGCAATTCCCGCCCTCCTGGAGCGGGACGATCCCGAGGGAACCCCCGTCAGCATTCCGGGGGAAAGCCCGGAGCGGAACGGGGGAGGGAAAAGGGGAAGATCCGCCCCCTTCCCGGGATTTGGGGGGGACAAGGAGGGGCCTGGGGAGGGCTCGGCTCGGAATTCCGAGGGTTGGAGGGGAAAAGAGGGAAAGAGGAATGTGGGGAGGCTGAAATCCCGGGATCCGGAGGGGAAAAGAGGGATTTGGGGTGGGCTGAGCTCCAAAATTCTGGGATTTGGGAGGAAAAAGCAGGAAAACAACTCCCATCCCAGTGGGAATGGGGACAATTCTTTGGGATCTCAGAGGAAACCCCAAGATCCCAAGATTGGGAGTGGGAAAAGGGAAAGGAAAATGGGATCCCGGGGCAGGATTCCTGGGAATTCTGTCGGGAAAAGGGGAAGGAAAATCCCGATCCTGGAAGGAAAAGGGGACCCCGGGAGGGTTTTCCCGTTGCCCAGGGTGGGATTCCCAGGAATTCTGTCGGGAAAAGGGGAAGGAAAATCCCGATCCCGGTGGGAAAAGGGGACTCTGGAAGGGTTTTCCCGCTTCCCAGGGCGGGATTCCCGGGAATTCCGTGGGGAAAAGGGGAGGGAAAAGGGGACCCCGGGAGGGTTTTCCCGCTGCCCAGGGCGGGATTCCCGGGAATTCCGTGGGAATTCCGTGGGCTCAGCCCTCACCCCCACGTCCTCGTCGTAGAAGTCGTCGTCGTCGTTGATCCCGGGTTTCCCGACCCCGCTCCGGCCTCTCCCGCGGCCCCTTCCCGGCCCTTTGGGGCCCCGCCCGCGGGGGCCCCGCCCGCGGCCACGCGGCAGCCCTGCACAAACTGGGAGTCACTGGGAGCCACTGGGAGGGCCTGGGATCGCCCTGCAGCAAACTGGGAGTCACTGGGAGCCACTGGGAGGGACTGGGATCAGACTGGGAGGGCCTCGGATCGGACTGGGAGGGCCTGGGATCGCCCTGCCACAAACTGGGAGTCACTGGGAGGGACTGGGATTGGACTGGGAGGGCCTGGGATCGCCCTGACACAAACTGGGAGTCACTGGGAGGGACTGGGAGGGACTGGGATCGGACTGGGAGGGCCTGGGATCGCCCTGCAGCAAACTGGGAGTCACTGGGAGCCACTGGGAGGGACTGGGAGGGACTGGGATCGCCCTGCAGCAAACTGGGAGTCACTGGGAGCCACTGGGAGGGACTGGGAGGGACTGGGATCGCCCTGCCACAAACTGGGAGTCACTGGGAGCCACTGGGAGGGACTGGGAGGGACTGGGATCGCCCTGCCACAAAC